TTCCTTTAACTCATGCCAACACACTGAGTCCACCATTTACCTATGGGGTAACATTAGAAAAATTCTCTAAACCTTGGTGTCATTATCTCTAAAATGTCTTTTTAGGGGCTGGGGATATAGTTCAGTGGCATAGTACTGCCTGGTAAGCACGAGGTCATGAGTTTGATTACCAATACCAAAAATAAAAAATAAAATAAAATAAAATGTACTTTTAGCTCATTGCTAGAATAGGTGCATCATAATTAGTAGAAAGAATACCTAACATTTACTGAGTATCAGATATTGTTTCAATTTCTTTCCATACATTAATCTTTATAATAATAACACACTCAAAAGTAATACTATTGTTCTACTTTGTATTGCTAATACTCAGATGAAGAAACTGAAGAATAGAAAAGTTAAATAAATGTTATCTCTTACTTACTTTACAGAAGCCAAGGCTAGAAGCAAAACAATCTGCATTACAGAGAATATAACAGAGATGCTGCTCTACTACACATGATATTTCAAGGATCAACTGATTTTTGTGAAATTATCAATAAAAAGACAACATGGGTAGAGTTCAAATTTAGCATCCATGGGCGCTTGGGTTTGACCCCCAATACAATAGATAGATAGATGGATAGATAGATAGATAGTAGATAGATAAGAAAGGGGGGAGGAAAGTATGAATGAATCAATAATGCCAATTCAGGGGCTAGGGGTTTAGCTAAACGGGATAAGCGCCTGCCTTGCAAGTGTGTGGTCGTGAGTTCGATTCCCTGGTACCGATAAAAAAGAAAAAGACAAAAAAAAATGATGACAATTCTGAGAACCTAGTAGTTACTATGAGAAGCACCAGGCTTCATACCATTTGTCTGCACCAGAATGCCTAAATCTGTCAAGGCCTTGTATAGTCACATTTTTTTTTATATTATCAATACCTCTATAAAAACTCTAAGAATTTACAGATAGTACTATAACTACAATCTTCCTACATGGCTTCTAATATTTTATTCACTCATTTGAGTATCTTCTTACATTTTTAAAATCCAAATTACTTTTATACAATTGTGGTAATCACATATCTAATTAAGGCAGGTAAAAAATATATAATTATAGCCTTTAAAAGCTGACCTTGGCCTAAAATTTGTAGGTAATGAAGAACCACCTACAAACATTTGTAATCTTTTTTTCCCTTAAATTAAGGAATTAGCAGCTCCATTCTAAATGTAACTTTCAAATAATCTTTTTTTTTTTTTTTTTTTTTATCCATCTTGTTCCTCTCTGCTTTTCCTGTTTGCTGTTCACTTTAAGGGCAAATATAATCCAATAGAGATTTTTTTTTTTAACACATAGTAAGGAAAATTTCTCTCAGTAGGTAGAAAAATAGGTCATTGTGTCTGTAACTTCAAATTTAATGTGAAAAATTGACAAAGGTAAAGTTAATTAGCAGAAGAATGTGGAAATTTATAGTTGACAAAGGGCATTATATAAAGCATAGATTTTTTTTTTCTCTCAATAGCCACCTTTAACATCAGATGCATTGGATATCAGGGACTAATTTAAGGAAAGACCTCAAAAATGTCATATGAAAAATGGCTATAAACTAGTACCCAGTTGCTACATATATCAACAAAAGCCCAGAATAACTGTCTCTACCTAAAAACGACATGCTCACAAGTTTTGTCAACTACATGCTTAAGACAAAACAGACAGTTAAAGAGCCTTCTGTACAATGCGTGGGCCTAAGAATGTATTTCTTCTACACTTATTTTAGAAAAGTTGTTTCTGTTAAAGCTATAAGCTTCTTATACCAGTTCTTTGTCCTTAATAATTAATTGTCTTCTCCAAACAGCGGGCTTCTTAGTTTCACTGCTGGCCATTTCCAGGAAGGGCCTGGCTTCCATTCTTATCTGAAATTTTAGATGATGTATTTTTTTCAGGGCTTGCTCAATCTGAAGAGCCAGTTTAGATCAATTTAGCCAATCCCTTCAAGCAGGAGAATTAAAACAGGTTTACTGAAAAGTGATTCTTTTCAAATCAAGCTCTCTAATCTTTCCTTTCTATAAAGATCTGAGACGATAACAGAGAACAATTCTTTAATCAAGGACAAGTATAGCTGACGCTGGTCCTATAGAGAATTAGCAAATCATGGCCACAGATATGAGAAAGTTTGTTACTAACCTGCACCAATGCTATGTATCTTATTTCTGTCTTCTTTTCTTTTCATTCTTTCTTTCTTTCTTTTTTCAGTACTGGGGATCGAACTCACCACCTCATGCTTGCCAGTGCATCTTATTTCTTAATGATTGGTTACAAACTACATATTAATATTAATCATTTAGGTGAATTTTAATAACTGCCTCCTGAAAATGATATCCAGTTATAGGATGTTTTTTAAAAAGCCATTTATAGGGCCTGGGGATTTAGCTCAGCGGCATAAGTGCCTGCCTTGCAAGCACACAGTTGTGAGTTCGATCCCTGGTACAAAAAAAAAAAAAAAAAGAGCCAGTTATTAAGTGGTGATCTTTTAGCAGCCACTGAAAAATCATCAACTTCTTTGGATCTCAATTCTTCATTTCAAAAACAAATATTGCCAGGTATGGTAGTACACGCCTGTAATCCCAGCAGTTGGGGAGTTGAGGCAGAAGAATTACCATGAGTTAGAGGCCAGTCTGGGCTACAAAGTGAATCAAAGGCCGCCTGAAAAGCACAGCTAAATTGTCTCAAAGGAAAAAAAGCATATATATATATATATACATATATAGTCACACAAAATGGTTATGTGGACTAAATAGGAGAATAAAAGTAAAAGTACTTTGAAAACTATAAATTATAATTAAAAGCATGTTTTAAACAAAAAATTCAAGTCAGTGTTTTAAAAAATTGAGTTGGGATTTAAAATATGGCCACCAATGCAAGAAATAGGAAGAATTTAGAAATACTTATAATGTCTGGCTTAACTAGACGTTAATAAGAAACTCTTTGTTCAAAATATTGCTGAAAATATCACTATACTATCCCATTTTAAGGCAACTAGTAAATATAAGTAAAACAATGTCATCTTTCTTTGAGAATTCTCCGTAGCTTTCTTATTTTTTCCCAGAGAAGGAAAGCAGACAAAAACTGCTAGATTGTTGAAGATTTTATTCATATCCTAGGTTCTGCTATACTTGTCTATAGTCATGCCATGAGTGCTGACTGAGCAGCATGGTCCACCAGTAACAATTCTGGAAGTAGATGCCTACTGAGGTAGTAAAACAGTGGCCTGGATCCTGGGTACACCTTGGAAAACCTGTATTCTGATGGAACCGAATACTGGCTGTCACTGTACCCAATCCTTTGTTTTGCTGCCTTCAGAAATGCTCATAGATTGCCACCTGATTTGAACCCAGATGGAGATACTTCAGCCACTGTCCATTTAAAAAAAAATGCCATGAGCACCACTTTGGACTTCAAAACAAAATAAGACTTGTTAATATGAGACATTTATCTTCGAGGCTAATTCACCCATTCAACAAATATTTATTGAGCTCTTACTGTATACATGGCATTGCTCTAGGTGCTAAGACTATAATGCTAATGAGGACAGCCAAGATCCTAGTTCTCATGAAATTTCCATTCTACTAAGGAAGCAGGACAATTAAAGACTGATTGGTAAGGAAATACAAGAGTAACTGGAATGGTGGTAGGAAGGGGGCAGCTACTTCAGGTAATGGCTAGGGAAAGCCTCTTTGAGGGATCACATTTGAGTTGAAGGTAAGCAGGGAGGAGATAGGCAGCCAGCCAAGTGAACAGAAAAGATGAGGGAATTCTATAGGCAAGGAAATAGCAAATACAAAGGCCCTGAGGCAGTAACATTGGTAAAGAGTGAGCGAAGAGAGAAATGCAAGATAACAGAGAGATGAGTAGCAGCCAGATAAAAAAGGACTTATAAGGAATAGTACGGATTTTAATTTTATTCTAAGTGTGATGCGTGCTCAAAATTGTTCAATAACAATATATGTGCAATGCCGGGCAGGATAGTGCATGCCTATAATCCCTAGCACTCGGGAGGCTGAGGCAGGAAGTCGCTGCAAGTTCGAGACCAGCCTGAGCTACAAAGTGAGCCCAAGGCCAGCTTGAACACATAGTGCGACCCTGTCTCAAAAAGCAAAAAAAAAAAAAAAAAGAAAAAAAAAAGTGCAAGATGAGATATATTTTATACACGTTAAGTTTTTAATTGCTTGCTAGATGCTTGCATAATGGTTACAAAATGAAAAAGTTTAAGGAAGCAATTCTTAAAACAGTGACAGTATTAAAGAAATGAAATAAAAATAAAGTGCTAAGTGAAGATCAGAGAGGGAACCACTGTTTCAAATAGGAAAAACTAGAAACTTTTTTTTTTAGAAACTACTTTTAAAAGCAAAACACAACACAACACATTTTATTTGGGCCCTTAAGGAACAGGGTTTCAATGGGATGGGGTGTGGGCTAAGGAGGTCCTGGGGCTGTAGGAACTGCAGGAGCAAAGGCACGGAGGCAGGAAAGGGTAGGGTGGGTCCATTCCAGGAAACAGTGAATCACTGCGGCTCCAGTGCCAGAAGGGTGGGTAGGGTGGGGAGATAAGCCTGGAAAAATAGGCTGGGGGCAGGGCAAGAAGATCTTGAAGGCCATACACAAATTTACACCTATGTATTAGTTCCCCTTAAGTGTGTATATAAAATCTCAAAAGTATTAAACTTCTGATTCCCAGACCCACCCCTGATACACTAGTCTGTGAGTCCAGGTGGGACTCTCAAATCTGCCTTCGTAACTAATACCCAGGTGATTCTTTTTGGGAGGAGACAGAAGTTGCAACACTACTAGGAAACGAAGCCAGGATCTTCCCACTAAGCTGTATCTGCACCTTTTTTTTCATTTTTTGAGAAAGGTCTCACTAAAAGGCTAAACTGCCCAGGCAGAACTTGAATTTGTACTCCTCCAGTGTCAACATCCCAGAGTTCTGAGATTACAGGCATGTACCACCATGCCCAGTACTTTTTTTTGAATGTTTCACAAATCTGCATGTCACCCCCTTGCATAGGGGCCATGGTAATCTCTGTATCATTCCAATTTCATTGTACATACTACCAAAGTGAGCACTGATTTTTTAAGGAGAGGATCTCACCAAGCACACTATGTTATGCAGGTTGGCCTCAAACTCAGTATCCTTCTGTTTCAGCTTCCTCAGTGCTAGGTTTACAGGTGTGGGCCCCCCCACACCTGGTTCAGGTGATTCTTATATAGGTCACTGAGGAAATCATGCTTTGAAAATCAGTGTTCTGGTTTATTTTATTTATTTTGGTTTCTGAGACAAGGTCTCACTATGTATTCCAGCCTGACCTTGAACTCACGATGCAGCCCAGGCTGGCCTTGAACTTGAGGTGATCTTCCAGCCTCAGCCTCCCAAGTGCTGAGATTACACATGTGATTTTTTTTTTAAATGACAACATGGGACTGAAGGAAAAACCTGACATCAACTACAAGGACTGCTCAAGGACTCTGATAAAAAATAAGAGATTTGAGTCAGAAAACTGATGAGAGAGCCATTATCATTGTTGGGATAAAATCACCACACTTGGTGATGGATTACATGCAGGAAGAGACAAGGACTGAAGTGTTAAAGACAACCTCAGAGTCTCTCCTTATGGAAATGAGTTGAAGGTAGACGCATGGCACAGAGGGGCTTTCTGTGTGGTCTGACAGGTCACCGGAAATATGAATCTCGAGCTAAGAAGACATGCAAAGTCATTAACCATTTGATTCAGTGCTCCAAAGTAAATTCAAGACAGAGAGTTAAATATAGCAAGTAAAACAATAAAAATTAGAAGAAAATGAAAGTATTTAATACATCTTGGATAGTGAAGGCCTTCTAAACATAAAATCAACTGGTAATCAATTGCTGGGGACACAGCTCAATGGCACAGCACCTCCTGGCAAGCACAAGGTCCTGAGTTTGATTCCTTGTACCAAAAAATAAATAAATAAATAAATCTAAGATAAGTAATAATGTACAATATAAAAATAAGTAGGCAAACAACTGGTTAAGTATTTGTATACAGAAGAATTAATATTTTTAAAAAATGAAGCACTTCAGTGGTAGAGTACTTGTATAGCATGCATGAGGCCCTGGGTTTAATTCTTAGCACTAGGGGAAAAAAAAAGCTACAGACCAGATGTAGTAGGGCAGGCCTGTAATCCCAGCACCAAGGAGGCTGAGGCAAGAGGATTGCTGCAAGTTCAGCCTGAACTACATAGGAAGATTGTCTCAAAAAACAAAACAGCTATAAATCACAAAGAAAAACACTAACGACAATTTCTTTATGGCACAATGTAAGTTGTTAAACACTACAGTAACATAAATCCTCTCATAAAATGAGACCTCTTTCACATGCACTGGAGATGATGAGTTTGTGGCATAGATCATCAGCAACATGGCTCTTCCGAATGACTTCACCCCATTCCCAAAGATCTGTCTGTGGGGTACCTGAAAAAATACTGCTTTATGTTTATTAACCACCCTAAAAGCAGTAAAATAAGTTACACTGTCTCCAATCTCCTTGAGCCTTGCCACTCCAGAGGAAACTGCTTTATTGTATCTGGTCTTTCCTCAGGCTCAAAATAGCTAAAATGGGAAAGGTTAGGAATGGAACAAAAAGTAACTGCAAAATGTCTTAAAACCATAGTCTAAAGCCATCCTTTCATCATAACAGTTGTATACACTTTGGGATCAACACCCACCTTCTCATCCCCCTTCTTACAGGAGTCTCTCTGAGTCAATGAATGCCTATTCAAGATAATCCAAATCTTTTTTCTATTTGGAGCACCAACTGGCTGGTGACATCACAAAGTCGGGTTTTCCCTTAAGAAGCGCTCTTTTCAATTTGCCCATATGTCCCCCTAAAAATACTCCAAGTAAACAAAATGACTACAAAATACCAACACAATAAAAGATTAAAACCCAAATAAAAATAGGAGTGGGATTAACAAAAAGCCAATTCACAGAAAAAGAGAAATGGAAATAGATGTATGCAAAATGTTTACTCTATCTTGTAGTCTTGGAATCAAAAAACCTCAAAATTAGTTTTACTAAAACTTAAAAAATGACAAATCCTTCCAATTTGTGGTTAGGTGGCCATTTTATGGCAAAAATGTCTAGTGATCCCCATACCTTCAACATTTTATGTCTGTATATGTCTCTGATGACTCTTTCTGGAATAGTGTATCTAAGTTACAATTAATTTTTAAAAAATAGCAAAGGAAAGTCAATAATTTGAAACCCTAAAAGAGACAATAATTAAAATTATACTTAAAAACACCACCATCATTATAGATATTAAGTACATATAAATAACCTGCTATAATTCCAAAAGTTTCTGGTGGAAATCTTTTTTCTATTTGGAGCACAAATAGAAAGGAGAAACACAATGTTAAAGAAATGTGTTCACCAAGCGACATGGCTCAAATTACAACCACCATATGTATTATTAACTCAAAGCCCCTATTTCAAAAATGAAGAACAGCTGAATGTGTTGGTGCATTCCTATAATCCCAGCTATATGAGAAGCTAAGGGACACCCATAAGTTTGAGCTCAGCAACAGCAATTTGCCAGACCCTGTCTCAAAATTAAAAATAAATAAATATAAAGGGCTGGGATGTAGTTTTAACACTCCCTGATTGAATCCCCAGTACTTACTAAAACAATCATACAGAAAGGGGCCATATCCTTTCTGTCCTCCATACATCAGAAGACTGGCACATAGTAGGCAGTTAATAAAACATCTGGTTGGGGGCTGGGGATTTAGCTCAGCGGCATAAGCACCTGCCTTGCAAGCAGGCAGTCGTGAGTTAGATCCCTGGTACCGATAAAAACGAAAAAGACAAAAAAAAAAAGCATCTGGTTGTACCAAGAGCATTCAAGACCTCTGTAAATGTCACATCATCAAAACTCTGTGAAGAATCTTTAAACACTGACACTTTCCTCCTTATCTACACACCTATCCTCTTTTCCTCATCTGAGACTTCTTTTTAAAGAGCTTGGAATTCTACCACCAACTCACATGCCCAAATAAAAAAGACATTTTCCTGGTACCTTAGTAGTCAAAAGTACCTGTCACCAAGATACACCGTTAAGAGAATTGTTTTGACTTCTGAAGCTTTCTCTTCCTAGAATTATTAGGTTAAAACTTGGCCCCACCTTTAATCAGAGTCTGGAACAACTTCTTAAATGCACCAAGTTAAAACAAAGTTATATAGTGAGGTAAATTTTACAAAATGGCACTACTTTGTTAATGTTGCCAATATACTGTTCCCAGAGGCTCTACAGTTCAGGGTCTACCTGAATATTTTGGGGCCTAATATATTAACAGTGAAAACAGTTCCATCAACTATTTGCTGAACTGCCATGGAAGTAAAGACAGTATCTAATGCTATCTCTAAAAGGCTATAGAGTTGGTAGAAGACAAGGTAAGAATGTACTGAATATATGGTTTACAGAGAACCATTCACTATTACTCAAAATGTGTTTGTTTGTTTGTTTTGCTACGTATTTTTGTTTTGTTTTTATGGAAAAGCAGAAAGGCAAATTTTAAAAAAAACAAACCCATATTTTCTGTGCTCCTTCAGCATCCTGGACTGACCTCTAATACAGAATCATTTTACCAGTACCGTAAGTTGTATGTTTGGCTCTGACTTACTCACTTGATATTAAGCCTTTTAAAGTGTAGACTCATTTGTATGTCTGACAATAAGACTGATATAGTAGGCACTCAAATAATATTTTGTTCAAAAAATAAGTTCCTAAAATAATTAGGCAGCACATTATGTGCTGTTCTATAAATGCAAAACTACATAAACATACATAAAATATTGATATATATTGATATAATATGATATATATTGCTCTTTCTTTTGCCAATTTTCTAACTTTCTGAATGTATATCTAAAGCATAATCATACTCCACTGAGGCTGTAACTCCACAAGAATTTAGAATTTGTTAAGGGTCATCATCTTTTGTATCTACATTAGATCTTGGGAGAAAGTATAATTCACAGTTCCTGAAACATTTGTCATTTGTTAATAGTATTAGCTACTACGTGGATAAAAATACACAATTTAACCACTTAAATCAAGACCAAAAGACTAATGCAAAAGAACACTTCTCCTTTAAAAAGGTAATCCTCTTTTAAAAAATTGATACAGTAACTTCTTAAGTGCTCTGACTAATTTGAATGGTCAAGGTTAGCACGACTATCTGGATTAGGCAGGTTTTTGAAAGTCAGAATTAAGAACAGGACAATAGTAGTTCGAATATCTTTCATAGGATCAGCTAAAATTGTTAGCATCAATAAGGTCAGGAAGAGCGCCAGATGGTTACCTCCTATCACTATCACATCAAGCCTTGGGATGTCTAGCCAATGGTGTACGGTTACCTTATATGAATATCTATATTTGTGTGTAGCCAGGTGTGGTAGCGCACGCCTGTAACCCCAGCACTTAGGACGATGAAGCAGGAGGATCGCCGAGTGTAAGGCCAGCCTGGGCTGTTTACTGAATTCAAGGCCACCCTGAAATGCATAGCAAGACCCCATCTCCAAAACAAACAAACCAAAAATGTTTTTAAAATGTGTATTTGTGAGTTAAGGATGCCAACATATGTATATGATAGTAACGTTGGGACAACAGAGCTACAAGAACTCCTTATATTCTCAGTGTAGCTCAAAAGGGTCTAAGTGTCTTAAACACAGCTGAGCTGGAGGAATGGAAGGAGAGAAAAACTGAAGACAGAGGGAATGGCCAAAAATGTAGGTTCAAGAGCAGATCAATATTAAAATATTTCCCTAGGAGGGTATTTTGACTTTTAATGAACTTACACTTTCTTCCACTACACCAAAAAAGCATACAGTTTTTAAGAAGTGTCCTGATGTCTAGGATCTCCCGCCCTCGGGCAGCAAGGGCTTAGCTCTACACATCACTCCCACCCGCAGAGCAGCTCCAAGAACAGAGCAAAGAGCAGATCAGGGACCGCTCGACCCCCAAACTCCAGAGGGAGGGGCTCACGTTCCTTATACTCAGCCCGCCACAGAAGTCGCCGAGTCGGAGCGCGTAAAGGGGAGCCGTGGTCTCCGCGCACTCGTGGGCTGTGGAGGATGTGGAGAGAGAAGGCCCTTACCTGGCTCAGCGTAGCCTCTTCTTTGCGTTACCTTGCCACGGGTCCCAGGCGATCCGCCTAGCGCACCTGTCGCGACTACGCGGCTGTACCTACAGCTCCTGCAGCCCCGCCCCGGCCCGGCTCAGAACCCCGCCCCGGCCTCGGCCCCGCCCACTTCCGCGGGGGCGAGCACGCCGGCCTGTATCGAGGCGGGCGTGCGCGCCGCTGGCTACGTGTGTAGCTCTCGTTCCCGCTGGCGTACCCCTCGCGAGAGGCGTGGCTCTTAGCCTGAGGCTTGGGCTCCACTGGTTGCTGTAACTTGTGCGCGAAACTTTGGCCTGTGTTCTTACCAACTTTGTATTTTAAACTCCTTGACTGAAGGTTACCGCAGTTTGACTCAGGAGCCATTTGAAGGTTTGGTTTAATTCAATTATAGTATCTAGGCTTTAGGTGCTGTCGGGGTAAGTTCTGTGCAGGAGGGTGATTTAAAGGAGGCCACGCGGTGTGGTAGGAAGAACTATAAATTTTGGCCCTGCCACTTGATTTGTATTAAATCGCTTCACCTTCTGGAGCTGTAAATAACGTCCACATTTTCCAGCATCTCTGTTCTTATTCATACACAGAACTGTGAGAAAGGTTGAAGCCCTCAGGAGTCTTCTAACATCTTGCCCCGTACCCCGCCCTTCTTGCTGTAGTTCTGTGCCACAGCCTAATGTCTTTTAGTAGTTTCTCCCTTTGCTGTACCCCAAGTACAAAAAAGTTTCAGACCACAAATCTTTTCAAGCTTTTTAGACTTCATGCATGACGCCTGAAGTATCAGAAGGGACTGCTGGTGGTAAACAGTACTGTATTTACACTCATAGCGGTTAATAAAACTGGAGAAGACCAATTTTCAACAGCAGATAAATAGGCCAGCCAATTGTTCCCCTGTGCCATAAAGTTTCCAACCAATACTGAATTTATTTTTTTAGGTAGTTATGGTTAAAATGAAAACTTTAGCCAGAATTAACAGTTTAAGCATTAAAAGGTTGTTGAATATGGCGACAGTCAAAACCAGTTTGGTTTGGTTTTGTTACCAGGGATTGAACCGGCAACTTGGCACTTACCAGGCAGGCACTTATGCCTCTAAGTTAAATCCCAGGCCCAAAACCAGGAGTTTTAAGAGCCTCTATGCCAGCAGTTTAGGCAACAAGCTTTTATAGGCTAAATAGGAAATAAATAGGAAATGATTGGCTACAGCAAGGCTTTCCTTTGTTTGGGTATGGTCACATAAGTCTCTAGTTAGGTAAGCAATGGACTGAATGATTGAAGGTCAATATAAAAGTAATGAGTTATGAAGGTTTTCTAGGTACAGAAATAACCCTGGGCTAATGACCTATTACTTAGTTTGGCTTAACAGTGTTAGCCATTAAGACTAGCAAAACTAGGAAATAACACAGGAGAATCTAGCTAGCTGGTTATCTGGCAGTTCTGGGTATCAAATCCAAGGTCTGGTACATGCTGGGCAAGTGTTTTACCACTGAGTTATACATCCCCAGCTCAAATTCTAGAAAACACGTTCTCTTGTATATAGAATCCCCTAAATATATGTCTCCCCCTCCCAATTTTTTTTTCTTTTTTTGTCTTTTTCTTTTTTATCGGTACCAGGGATTGAACTCACGACTGCCTGCTTGCAAGGCAGGTGCTTATGCCGCTGAGCTAAATCCCCAGCCCCTCCCAATTGTTTTAAATGAAGCCAAGAAACACTTTTACTTTATCTAGTAAGAAGACTAAGAAATTTTGTCCTAGATTGAAATCTGGACTCAGCCTTTTAGCAAATAGGCAGATTAATTGGTCTCCTACAGCTTCTCTTTGAAAATAGAGCTCTTAGTACATGGCAGCTGACTTTTATGTTTGTAAGGTTGGTTACTGAATTTTCAAGAATTTTATAAGCCAGTGTTAAGCACAACAATGACTAAAATCAAATTATAATTCAAGAATGGTCGGGGGCTGGGGATTTAGCTCAGCGGCATAAGTACCTGCCTTGCAAGCAGGTGGTCGTGAGTTCGATCCCCGGTACCAATAAAAATGAAAAAGACAAAAAAAAAAGAATGGTAGTGTATGCCTGTAATCTTAGCATTCTGGGCAGCTGGAGCAGGAGGATTGCAAGTTTAAACCTAGCCTGCCCATGTTAGTTACTTAGCAAGAACTTGTCATAAAATATAAAATAAAATAAAGTTTAAAACTAGTTAATTTTTTAAGACAAAAGTAATGAATACTCAAAATTTATTGCTGTATCAAGTACCCTATAGATTGAAATAATTAAAATTAGCCAAATATGGGGTTGAGATTAGTATAGTTCATAAACGCCAGTGCTATATGGCACATGCATTTCTCTTATTTTGATTGTAGTTTGACAAATAGATTAGCTAACATTCATTTCTTACAAAATCTTGGTTTAGTGATTACTCTTCAGGAATGTTCATTACTTTCTATTGAATTACAATTAAAATCAATTAATAAAAAAGTAGGAAAATTAATCAAATGTCATGCAAAAGCATTGGAAAAATTAAAGATTAGTATTAGAAAACATGAATCTCTATTTTTTGATTATCAGCACCACAAAAACAAAGAACAAACAAAACCCCATGACACTCAAGATGAAGATTTGGTTAAGTTGAAAGTTTGGAGACATTCTATTTAATAAAAATACAAAAATAAATGTAAAGGTCTGTGGCACAGTACCTGCCTGGAAAGTACAGGGTCCTGAGTTTGATTTCCGATACCAAAAAAAAAAGTATGTCACTAAAACATAATGAATTTATGCCTTACTAGAAATAGCCTCTGGGTATGTGTGTGTGTAGTGCTGGGTTCAAAGTCAGGGCCTTAACAAATGCTACATGAGCAATTCTACCAAGCTACACTCAGCCAGAAACAACATTTTAAATTTTTTATTTTTTGAGAACTATCTGTAGGGCTTTATAAAGAGCTTCACTAGAATAACTTAGTGGGAGTAAAACTGTATCACTTAAAATGATCTTCAAAATTTTATGGATTATGTAGAATCAATGTTGTAATCATTTTATACAGAAAGCTAAAAACTAGCATTACTTCAGTCGCTAGTGCTAAAAGCTGGAAGATTTCATTTTAATGAATTTGAGGATAAGAATTTATATGAGGACAATGATTTAATTGCAGATCACATATTGGATGACAAATATTTTGGAAAATCTAACTGTCATCTAATCATCATGGTTGAATGTAGAAACAAGAGCTCTCAGAAAATCATTGAAAACATGTAGGATGACTCTGAAATAGTGGAATTTGTAAATTTTTTATATTTATCACATCTAAGTTGTTTGCTACATATATACTTGCCCTTTTGGGATGTTTTTGTTTCGTTTGGTACTGGGGATTATACCAGGGCCTTCACACTGAGTTGCATCACCAGCCTTTTTTTTTTTTTCTTCGAGATTGGTTCTCACTAAGTCACTGAGTTGGCCTGGCTAGATAGGAATTTGCAGTCCTCCTTACCCAACTCTCAAGAGTTCTGGGATTGGTGGCAGATGCCTGTAATCCCATCACTCTGGAGGCTGAGGCAGGAGTATCCTTATGAGTTCAAAAACCAGTTTAGACTTTATAGTGAGTTTAAGGCCAGCCTGAACTGCATACCAAGACCCTATCTCAAAAAAAAAAAAAAAAAATTCTGGGATTATGGGTTTTAGCCACACACTCAGTTTATACATGTTTTGTATAAGTAAAATTTTTGCAGATTGATGTATGTATATGCATGTATAGATACACACATTGCCTTCCTGGAGAGCTGGTGGTTGTCAGTATATCAATAAGTAGTAGATTTAGGAATAATGTGAAACTCAAATAAGAAAAGGTGTATAGGACTGGGGACATGGCTTAATGGTAGAACACTTGCCAGGCCTGTACAAAGTCATGAGTTCAATCCCTAGACTACAAAACAGAGAAAATGATATGTATATAAAATATGTGGTATTTCCCCCTATAGAGTTTATAAATGTTAATTCTAAGGGTTTGAAGGCATAGCTCAGTGGTATGAGTACTTACCTAGGGTACTTGAAGCCTTTAATCCCCATCAGTTACACTTTTCTAATGGGAATTACGGGTTCACTCATGTAGGGAGCCATTGAAGCAGGAGATTGATAATGTGTGGGGCTAAAGCAAGGCCAACCCAGAAAAAACAAGTTGCTAGGCAGTAGGGTTGAAATTGACATTCTTCTTTGGAGGGTATAAATAAACATACTGCACTGGTTGAGCAGTTCCTTTCCTCCTATCAGAAGGATAAGGGCTCCACCTGTCCTCAGCTTTGTCTTTTTATTTTCTCATCCTCTCTCAGTCCTTAACCCCAAGAACCTCAGGAGCTGCACTTGTCACAACACACTGGTCATTAAGTGGCTTCCAGGAATTCCACAAATGGCATTTTTTATTCATCTGACAAAACCTGGGTATAAATGGCCGTTCTTTCCTCTCCGTTTAGTACACGAAGGTGCAATCCATTAAGCATTTGGTAACGTGAAATGGCTCACATACATCTCCAAGGATAAATCCAAGAAAAAGTCTTCCAGAATTAACTACAATCTCAGTGTTATGTGATTGCCTACAGTGTACAGGGCCTTGGTTTCAATCCCTAATAACACACACACATCCCCACCCCTATAGCAATGTTAAAATTATAACAGATTTAATGAATTTAATTGGCTTTTATTTGTGATTGATTTTATGGCGCAGCCTCCATTTTATCTAATAAAATGAACAGTCCCATGGCACAAGTGCAGGATTGGATTTTATTTTTTTTTGTTTTTTGAGGGAGGGTCTCAGAATGTAGTTCTCGAACTCACTGCCTCTGCTGGCTTTAAACTTGCAGTAATCCTCCTGGTTTAGCCTCCTGAGTGCTGAGATTCCAGTGCACCACTACACTCAGTTAAGGACTAGGTTTTGTAAGATAAGATTAATGTTGTAGAACCATAGAAAAACGACTGATTTGTTAACATTAGACTGCTTCAGGTTATTTATTTATTTGGTAAGGTTTAAAAGTAGAGAAAACTTCTTTATGCTGACTCAGACAAATCCTCTGTTATTAGAAAAAATTGATATATTTTAGAATCCGTTTCCTTAATAGTTGTTTGAATATGTGACAT